ACCAGAGAAAATTAAGGCCCCTCCTCCGCAGTGCCCTGCCTCGGTCTGTTGAAGGTGGTGCTTAGCCTGGGTGACAGGAATGTGTCAGCAGTATCCAATTGCTGACAAGGCATAAGGATAATTCCTTGGTTTTGCTGCTACGTAGCTGCTTTGTTCTCTAAGGTTTTCCAGATGTCTAACATAGAAAATGCATCAGTATCAGCTCGCTATGAAAATTAGTCATCTAGAGGGATGGAATTAGTTGATTTGAAGCAGTGACTTGCGTGGAAATGTAGATGCTACTCCTATCGTTATTCCAGGAGCGCTAGCGTTCCGTTTTTGTATTATATTCAAATTTGTAGCTCATTTCGACGGCATTTCGGCGTTACTGTTCGGAGCACGGCATCAGTGATAGGAATGATATGACACCGTTTTATGAGCTGGACGATTCCGACTTGTCAACAAATTCAACTGCCAATTATCTTGCCCGGGTATGTGCTTCCTGCGCACTGCAGTTTCGTTGGCTTCTAGGCTGTGGTTCGTCTGAAAACTAATTCGTCTGTTTTTTTGCAGACTGTGATCGATTTGCTGCTGAGTGGGACATGCATGTCTCGGCGTAAGCTGACAACCTTTATGCCCAGTGATGCACTTGCTCTCACACCAACTTCTTCCGATCGACCTGATGAGCAGATTTACAGTTGCTCAATAAGTTGATCTTCTGGCAAAGCCTTCGTCAAGAAGTGTGGATTTTTGTAAAAAAAGGTGCGTATCATCGAACGTTTGGTGGCTGCCTTTCGAAAGTGCCATATCCTCGGTGCTCAGAGAAAAAAGTGCCTTAACAAGTTTTCTCAATAGGTAAGCGTATCGTTACGCTGTTTGTTATTGGCTAGTAGATTTTAACTAATTCTTTTAAATGCGGTCACTGTGTCTGGATAGTGTAGTTTGCGCGCTTGGCGATGCCTCTGTGCATCTCTGGTAACAATGGAGCTTAACAGCTTCGGTCCCAACAATATTGTAACTTTTGGGCGTCCGTGGAGCACATCCTCTATGATGAGGGGGAAATTGGCTGGAATATGATTGGAGACGAAATAGTTTTCTGCATGATAGTAGATATTCTAATTTTATCTGAAGTCCAACGTTTCTGCGTCGATTAAAGAATTGATGGGTATCGCTTTGTGAACCATGGGGAAATATCGCCCAGAAATGGACCAGGATTCAGGTTGTCGCCAAACGACGCTGGTATTACCGCATAGAAGTGCTCGGATTATTTATTAACCGTATATGTTCCTGTGCTTTGTTTATAAAAAGTAGAGATAGTATGGATTAAGAATTCAGGCAGTTGAGGTGGGACGAGACTACAATCCTGGATTGCCTTACAAATTCTCACAAAAAACCAGATCTAGCTGCTCATACTTAGAAGACAACGCTGTAATGTTGGTCTGCGAAAAGATGTTATATCTCCGGAATATAAGTGGGTATTGCTTTACGAATAAACAGCACTTCCGTTCTTTTTGCCCAGCAACGAGCAGCATTGATGAAAACGGACACAACCTCAACATTCAGTCCAGCATATATAGTCTGTGATGCTTAACATCGGTGCTCGTTGCTACTTTTAAAGCAACTTTTCTTGTTACCGGTCGCTGAGTTGAGTCCAATTCGAAAAATCCACTTCCTCGTGCTATGATTCAGCAATTTTTTTTTGCGTTTTTTTCATCTGTGCAATGCAAAAACGCATTTTGTCAAGGGGTTGTCTGTTTGCGTATGTGTGTGTGTCTGTCTGTGCGTCTGTACCGAGCTTTCATCTCAAGATCTACAAAAGCTAGAAGGCTGTAACTTTGGTAACTTAATCTGTACTTATGTGCGAGCCCTTGTCCACAAAATGCAGGAAGTTGCAGAAAGCCATAAATTTTGCATTGTTACTTGTCGCCTACTGATGTGTCCGAGGAAGTAAATCGAGCTTTCCAGCCCCTTTGCATCTTACGCACCGTCACGTGAAAATTCCACGTAGGCAGTTTTGTAGTTTCGGAAGAGGGCCGAAAATTTCTGAGCGTGGCCGACGGCGACATTTCACTGGGTGGACGTGAAAATGACTTTCTCGTTCCTTTCATTTCCTGTGTACGTCTCACGTACGAGCACGTGAAATTTAACGTAACTCCACAACCGAAACGGCTAGAGCGCTGAAATTTTCTAAG